TTCCTTCACACGATACTTTAATCAACTGGTTTAAGCCTATAAAGTAAAGACAAAACGCAGAACTCTGATTAGAATCACAGAGACACCAATTCATAGAGACTTACTGAGTGATTGTCTTTACAAAATATAAATAAATATTAATACTTACCAACTTCGGGAGGGCCTTCACTTGGCTTGGAGTTATGTGATGGCTCTGTGGGTGGATTCTTTTTTTCAGACATGAACACGGTCAGATGGGGAGCTGCAGGCGCGTTACTCTTAGGAACACTTGGTGCAGCATCAGTATTTTGCCCCACTGAGTGCTTCATAAGTACAGTCTTGGCAGTATTCTTACATTTGACTGACGTTTTAATCGTTTCAGGGGCCACAGATGTCACCATAGTTTGAGATGCAGTCGAAGTTTTGGATGCAGTTTCAGAATTTTTTAAGGCGTTTTTACCATATTGGGATGCCCCCCCTATTTTGGAAGTGGTTGCTGTTTTTAATGGTCCCACATTTGAGTTTGAAATTATTTTAGCTTTGGAGTCATTTCTGGGATCAGGATGCAGATGGGTTGTGTTTGTCCCCCTTGTGGACAAGTGCAGACTTGCTGGGTCTTCACTACTTGTGGAAACAGTCGGGCAGGTGTAAGCGTTGGCAGCTGAATCTGACATGTTCATCATTGCATCTTCATTTGATTCAGGGGGGACTTCTGTTGTTTTGCAAGCAGATTCAGTCATTACAGTCACGGCTGCAGTTACAGAAGATGGCTGTGCCTCAGAGTCCGAATCATCAACCTCTATGTCCACCACCTTTGAAATAAAACATCTATATTAAGCATTTGTCAGCTCTAATATTAGAAGACTGTCGGGAATAATGCAATACATTAAAAATAATGACAAAGATGCATATATACAGTAGTAAGCTTAGACACGGAGAAAGCTTTCAATTGAATTGAACGGATGTATCTTTTCAAGGTCCTAGACAGATTTTCTTTTCTTTTTACAAATTACTTTATACAGGCCCAAAATCAACAATTCTAGTGAATGGTGTACCATTCACTAGAATTGTTGATCTAATCTGCTTTCTCTCTAAGTAGAGACATACTTGTACGCAGATTATGTCTTGTTGTTCCTTACCAACCCAAGCCAGAACCTATTTTAATTAATAGTTTTTCATGTTGATTTATGCTGTATTTGTTTTTTATAATCTATGTGTTTTATATATTTATTTATCAGGTTTCACCAACCCATTTGTCTTGTGTGCAGCATGTACACAGCCTCTGCTCTGTGTGTGTGTGATGATAATGTGAGGGTGGGATCATAGTTGTAGCTGATGCTGTGAGCCTGTCGTATGATTATAGGGCCTTTTTTCATTTCTTAAAATGTTTTTTGTTTTTTTTACGTTTTCTCCCATATTTCTGTCTATTTCTAGTTCCAATATATACATATACTATCTTATATGTTTATATGTTATTAGATATACATGTTACTTTATTTGCAATGGTTTAAGTTGTTGTGTCAATTTTCTTAAGAACTCAATAAAAAGTATAATTGAAAGAAGAGAGTAAGGTAGAAAGATTATTTTGCTATACTGATTCATGCAAAATTGACTGACCTGCAAGTCCTCTGCGTTTGAATAAACCTCGTGTTGAGCATGATGGGTGACTGAGGTGTCCACAGGTTCAACAGCCAGAAGTGTCTTCACTGTCTGTATGGCTGAGAAGACGAAGGAAAATATACAAAAATATAGTTCAGTTAAAGTTCTGACTCACCTATTAATCACACCAAACTAACCTTTCCAAAAAGGACTCCAAATGAAGGAAAGCTGTACCCTTACCTGATTTAAAGTTTTGTTTAGAGATGTCATTGTAAATCCCTTCATCCAGATCAACAACCTGGAGTCCAGACATAAACAACAATTAGTAAAACTTATTATTGAATTATATTCTAATCTTAGCTGTTACTAAATCTTTTCTCCAAAATTATTCAGGAATGACCAAAGGACAATGGTTATAATTTTTTATCTCAGTTTATGAAGTGATATAACTCTGTCCCCTATAAAAGAACCAGGACCAAACCTGAGCTTCTCCATATCCATTAGCTTTTTCAAACAAAGCAGCCAAATGTCTGATGTTCTGCTCCGGGTGCTTCCCTGGTGGAGGTGGGAGTTTCTGTAACCCCTAATGTTAAAAACATACACAGGAGAAGGCATTATTAGGACAAAACATCTGTTGTACACAATGTGGTAGAAATTACTGTAGAAGCAGAAGACCAGAAGAAACAGTTCTGAAGGTGGGTTTGCTGCTGTATATGTTGTATTAAAGCTTCCTCTTCTGGCCGTAAAAGATTTCAAGACTGAACACAACTAGATTCTTCAACTAGTTTTATGTTACTCCCTTCTTTCCTTGACCAGTTTGGGTTCGTAATAAAGGGAACGCAGTAACAGAATCTTGATTCATATGTGATTCAGCACTACCTAGTTTGATAGTTTGATTGAGTTTCGTGAGCCTGTGTGTTGGCCGGGATGAAACTGCAGACTAGTTGCAATTGGATAGACCTTGAAACAACTACAACTTTGGAAGTTCCCCATCAATTTGGCTAACTTGGAATGCATTTCTGCACAGAATGAGGACTTTGGATTGTGTCCCCCATTTATTATAGTGTAGTCACTCTATGAAGGGATCTCTTTGTGGCCAGTATGGAGAGGAGGAAGGATTACACAGACCGATAATTCTATTAATGTATGACATACACTTAAAAAAAAAACTCTGTATGCTTTAACATTTACTTACCACCAGGTACATCTTCTGGTGTTCAGCTCCAGTAACATGGCTGATGATGTCCTTCTCTGTAATCTTCAGAGAGCAGCACTCACAGAGGTAGATGGGACCATGCTGATCACAACAGCATTCAAGAAGTGCAGTCAAGCCTAGAGGATATTTTGGTCACTATTAATATTGTGTATCAACCTTCACTCTTGCTGAAAATGTTGTCATTCAAAGAAATTATTTAATTAGAAAATTACTGACGCTCCAGTAAATGTAAAACAAAACATGAAAAATCAAAATATGTTAACTAAAACTGCATTATCTGTTCTTTTTCCTCTTTGAACTTTCATTTACTCCATCATTGAAAAGACAGGTTTCCAAAATCATTTTAAACCAGCAACCCAACAACAATTAACACTAAATTTACAACAAACACTTGGTCATATCTCATATATCATATCATTTTGTACTGACCAACCACAGGCTCTCTGTTCTTCCTCTTGACATACTGCCACAGTTGATCTGCTTGTTCTTGCGCTTGGTTCACGCTAGGAGACACTGTAAGACAATCACAGACAGACTGAGCCTTTTTCACAGAAATACAGGATAATATTCCACAAACTTAAATATGAAATGTACATACCGTTATCCTTTGCAGTCTTGTGACTTAATTTGCCACTTTCTCCCTCGTCTGCGGTGGTCGCCTCCGTTTGTCCGCTGCTTGGCAGGTTTTGGGGTTCTTCACAATATGCTTCTTGTTTGAAGGTGAGTCGCTGCCTTTTATGGCACATTTCTACTTCCTCATTAGGACATGAGTCGTCCTGTGATTTTTCACACATGCTTGATCCCTTTCTTTTATTTTCTTTGTATGTGGTATTCTTCAACTGTTTCAGGACACCTTTGCTACTTTTGCTCCTTTCTTTTCTAATCTCTGTTCCATCAGCTTTGTCTGTGATCTTGCAGCTTTCTAGGGTCTCCCCACTTGGTGTTCTCACTATAGGCTCTTCAATCTTCTCCTCCTTTATCCTCAGGCATGTCTCACTACCTGCATTCTTTATCTCCTCTGAACTAGTTTTTGGAAACACCTCTTTTCTCCTCTCTGATTCTTTTGGACTTGGAGTAGGTATCTCAACACCAACTTCTACTGAAGTGTTTGTCAGGCTTGTCTCACTGTGTTCTGTAGACTTTTGAATGGTCTTTTTCTCAGACCCCTCCGTCACCCTGCTGTTTTCGCTCACATGGGCCTTGTCCACATCTTTCAAAGTTCCTCTGGGGACTGAGAGACACACAGTGCATTAAAAATGTATTTGATTACAATTACATGCAATGATTTATTAAGTATCCACTCAGTAACTAATAATACAAAAGCAATAAATGAGCTGTCTGAATGAATCCAATAAACGATGAGGTGAAATGATTAGAAGTAGGGGATTTGCTTCGTGTCGGATGGTTCTCACAATGACCTTTTCTCACGTATTCAGTTTCCAACCAACTTTGAAACCAACTTCTGTTCCCGAGTTATGGTGTTAAATAAAGGCCAAAAAGTTAATGATGTCATTAAGATGAACATTATGATGGCACAGTGAAGTTTATCTTTGACCTTTTTATTTTTTTACGGCTATCCCCGTAGAGTTTCCCACCATGGGAAGCCAAATATCAGCAGTACGAGTTAGGCTCGTACTGTACAGAAAACATCAACGTGACAAAATGTTCTATATATAAAAATATATATTTGGAATAACTTACCCAGCTTCATTTTATGCATTATTGGGGGTTCAAGCTTTCCTTTCCCCTCTCTTCTCTTTGCAGGTGCCAGAATGGATATGGCTGAACAAAATAGTGTAATAGTCAAGAAAACAATTCACAGTTACAGATGCCAATGTGAAACATTTTGATGGAAAAATACTGACTTCATTGTACTCATGTAACTTTGATGATTTGTACCTTGTTTTGTACAGTATCTCACAAAACAACAACACTGAAGAAATGACACTTTGATACAAGTAGCTTGTATAACAGTCTAAATTTACTATCCCCTCGAAATAACTCAACACAAAGCCATTAATGTCTAAACCGCTGGCAACAAAAGTGAGTACACCCCTAAGTGAAAATGCCCCATGAAAAGATATAATGAAATATTTGCAGATATGT